CCAAACCATTTCCCCTAATTCAGGCCACCCTCCTCCTGTGCATTACCACACATCTCAGAGCTGAGCCCTCCACTGTGGGACTGGCGTGGTCTTAGAAAGGGGACATTCTGTCAGAACTGGGGTGGGATATATGGGCACTTAGTTCCAGAGATGGAGTTCTGAAATCAGTGGATATTTCCAACGGTCTACTTTCCCTTCTTTTTCTTCTCCCAGATGATAACTGGAGAGATCTGCTAATGCATGCACTATTGTTTAATCTCTGAAGAGGACATAAGTGATAACCTACATTCCCTGTTAGACAAGTATGATTTTTCACAATATTGACCTTTCAACTTTTCCCTCTTCGCCCAGGAAGAGTTGCAGGATTTGGGGATTCATGTCATCTCTTCCTGTGGGACATGGAGGAGGATATGTAAATGTCTACAGAAAGCCATTGGTGCTGGAGGCTGGGGCACATGGGTCCCCATGGAGAGAGTGCAAGTAGGACTTACACAGCGGGACTGAGACCGCTCTCCTCAGGAAGGCCTGCTTGCAAGGTGGGTCCTTGGCTGGTGTCTGGCAACTTAGATTTCAGAAGGGTTTCCACCGCTCCCTAAATGGTAAGAGTGACTCACTATGCCCAATCCATACGTACAAACAATATAGTTTATGCTAAACATCTGCTTTCCTTCTGGACTCGGGAATTTTAGTATGTGGCAGGCAGAAGGTACCTTCACGTCCAGCCCCCAATAAAAACTTAGGGCACGGAGGCTCTGACCAGCTTCCCTGATAGACAACATTCCACACGTGTTGTCACAACTCATTGCTGGGGAAGGAAGTGTGTCCTGTGCGAGTCCACTGGGAGAGGACTCATGGAATGGAAGCTGGTGCCTGCTTTCCTCTGGACTCAGTCCCATGTGCCTTTCTTTATCTCTGCAGATTTTCTTCTGTATTCTTTCATTGTAACAAATCATAGCTGTGCATATGACTGCATGCTGAGTCCTGTGAGTCCTCCTGGCAAATCATCAAGTCTAGAAGTGGTTTTGGGGCCCCTAACACAGAGAATTTTAAAGTGTTCATAGGGTATAGAACTTCCAGTCAAGATGGCAGCACAGGTAAAGGCAGTGCTCAAATCCTCCCACAACCACATAAACTACACCTAAACTACAGAACGACCATCATTTAGAACTGCCTGAAATGTAGCTGAATGAAAGTCCTGCATCTAGGGATTTAAAGCAGAAACCACATTGAGACAGAACAGGCTGGTCCCACACCCACATGTAGCAGTTTATAATCAGGAGGGATATCTCAGCTGCATAGGTCTCCCCTGAGGTGTGAGGGATCCCAATCCCACACCAGGCCCCCCAGCCCAGGGTTCCAGCACCAGGAAGAAAAGTCCCCATAAAAACCAGTGGCTTTTCCCTACAAATGGCCCCTCTTGTCTCATGCTTCAGACCTTCCTAAAATCTCTCAGACAAGCAGCATCTGGCCTCTGCATATGCTGTACCTCTTGCTAAGTGGCCCCAGGCCTGGCACTAGCAGCAGCCAGCCTTGTTCACAGCTTGGCCTCTCCTGGGCACATCTAAGCCCTGCGTAGCTAGCAGCCATCTACAGCTCACTCTGCAGTTCATGCTGGGTGACCCCAGGCAGGGCACAGGAGGTGGATGACCTTGTACCTCCCAGGAAGCCCCAGAGCCAGTGCATCTAGTGGATAGCTTCAGACCACACCAGACTGTAACCCTACAACTTCAATGAGTGACACACTCAAAGGGCGGACTTGGTGAGCACAAAAGTCCCACTGAAGCGAGTCCAGCTCCAAAGGTTCAACTCCCGCACAGCAGTTCCTTGAAGCCAATCAGGCTGGGGTCAGTCCCTGAATGCCAAAAATAATCAAGGCTCAACAAGAATCAAAGCACACAGCCCAGCTCAGGTGACTGGGGAGACTGAGCCACTGAACCCTACAGGACACCTACTACATAAGGCCACTTTACCACATCCGGAAGACGTAGCAACGCTACCTAATATACAGAAACAAGCATAGGGAAGCAGCCGAAATGTGGAAACAAAGAAACAGGTTCCAAATAAAAGAAGAGGAGAAGTCTCCAGGAAAAAAAAAAAAAAAGAAGCCAAATGAAATAGAATCAAACAAACTACCAGATACAGAATTCGAAACCATGGTTATACAGATGCTCAAGGAACTTAGTGAGAACTTCAACAGCATGAAAAAGGACACAGAAACCATAAAAAAGAACTAATTAAAAGTGAAGGATACGCTAACTGAAATGAAGAATAATTTATAGTGAATCAACAGTACAGCAGATGAAGCCAAGATCAGATCAACAATTTGGAATATAAGGAAGCAGAAAACACCCAATCAGCACAGAAAAAAGAAAAAAAGAAACCAAAAAATGAGGATAATGTAAAAAGCTTCTGGGACAACTTGAAGCATATCAACATTCACATCATGGAGGTGTGGGAAGGAGAAAAGAGAGAGCGAGAAATTGAAAACTCACTTTAAAAAATGACAGATAGCTTCCCTAAGCTGGCAAAGGAAAGAGACATACAAGTCCAAGAAGTGAAGAGAGTCCCAAACAAGATGAGACCAAAGAGACTCTCACCAAGATACACCATAATTAGAATGCAAAGGTCAAAAACAAAGAGAGAATCTTAAAGGCAGCAAGAGAAAAGCAGTTAGTTAACTACAAAGCAGCTCCCATAAGACTGTCAGCTGATTTTTCAACAGAAAGTTTGCAGGCCAGACGGGAGTGGCAAGAAATATTCAAAGTGATGAAAAGCAAGGACTACAACCAAGATTACTCTACCTAGCAAGGGTAGAGTATTCTATCATTTAGAATAGAAGGACAGATAAAGAGCTTCCCAGACAAGGAAAAGCTAAAGGATTTTATCACCACCAAACCAGTATTATATGAAATGTTCAAGGGTTTCCTTTAAGAAGAGGAAAAAAAAGATAAAAAATATGAACAATAAAATGGCAATAAATACATATCGATCAACAATTGAATCTAAAAAAACAAACTAAATGAAGCATCAGAACAGAAGCAGACTCATAGATACAGAGAACGTTTTGACAGTTGCCAGATGGGAGAGGAGTTGGGGGACTGGGTGGAAAAGGTGAAGGGATTAAGAAGCACAAATCGGTTATTACAGAACAGTCATGGGGATGTAAAGTACAGCATAGGGAACATAGCCAGTAATATTCTAATAACTATGTATGATGTGAGATGGGTATGAAATTTATCAGGATGATCTCTTAGTAAGTTACATAAATGTCTAATCATGGGGTTGTACACCTGAAACGAATATGTCAACTGTAATTGAAAAATGAAAAGTAATTTAAAAAAGTTAAAGTGTCATAGGGTATGGTCTAAATCACAAGAAACCGTGGGCTCATACAAAGGTGTGCAGTAAGAGGACCTCTCAGGAATGCCTACCAAAGCGGTAAGTAGAGCATGTCTTGGGGGTGCTAGGGTGCACTGGGGAGGCCACTGTGAAAAATGTCACAGCAGAGAAGGCAATTAAACCTGTATGATCCTTTGTCAGCATTTTATTATTGCTTCTTTGTCTTGGGTTTGAGAAATTGTTTTTCCTATTTCCAAAATGACAGATGTCATGAATTCACAAGGATTTTCAAAGATTCATTGCAATTCAGTCTCCTTAGTAGCGGAGTTACCCCAGAACCCAGAGAAGCCATGGCTGACACATGGAAGAGACAACCCTGCTACTGGTGGCACAGGTCTGGCAAAAAGCGCACAGCTTAAAAAACATCGGTTAAGTGAAAGTAACGCTCAGTAGATACCAGGTTCACATACAAGCCAAATGCCCTCTGCCTTTCCCTTCTCTTTATGATTTACTTGGTCTTCAAAATTAAGAAACAGGCTAGTCAATGGGAGAATGTGTTCTTCACTGGAAACGAATTCATTTTGTTTTAAAAGGATTGTAGTAGATACTCAAGAACAAGGACCATGTGTAATCACAGGCACTAGTATTTCTTTTTGATTTATGATCCTCACAACTGCATGAGGTAGATGATACGACTTTTCTCTTTCATGGTGCCTGGTCTGTTACAAGACAAGCAATGATGCTCACGTAAGACATACCAGTTGACTGATTAGTCATGGCTTTAGAAAAATTACTGCTTTACAAAAATTAGTAATTCCTGAAGTCTGTCAGTGTAAGAACAAGCTAAAAAGCACTCCAGGCATTCAGAGGAATTATTAAAATCACAAATTAAGTCATTTCTATGGACTCTATGGCAGGAAATATATTTTTAATGAGGAAATTGAAGCTAATATATAACAGCTGTCTTGTTACCCAGTAACGGAGTATTAAGGCAGATTAAATTATTAATAAAAAAATATGGCAACTTGGAAATTTAACCTTTACACACTCTCTATTCCTTTCTCTTTTATATGTAGTCTCTAAACTGATTTTTTTTTTAAAAAAAACACCATATTTGGTCATATTAAGAAGTTTCCATTTATAACTTCCTTTGCTACTCATCAGCTGTGGAATCTTCAGCAGGAAACTCACTATAAGACTTTCTCATGATCCAATAGCTAATGTGGGTGTGCCTGGAGGAGCACAGAGCCTCGGGGGAACTTAACTAGGTGATACCTATGCTAGTCAAATGGCCAAACTCCCACTTATGTGGTGCTACCACTGGCTGCCCTAAATTAGCCAAAGTGCACTTGACCCGCAGACCCCTGATCAGACAATGTTGTTCACATACAACCACTGAGAATTTGAAAGTTGTTTGATATGCAGCAATAGGTTGTCAGTAAGTGACGCGGGAAGTTATTCACAAGTTATTAAAGGCATAACCTTATAAAAAAAGAAAAGTAGATGGGGGAAATAAATGGAGAGAAATGAGAGGGAAGGAAGATTTAAGAACTGCATAGCATAGCCCAGCACACAGGGGAACAAAGTCTGAAAAAAGGAGGACTTGGTGTGGCACCGCCACTTCCTCCTCCTTTGGTCTCTGCCCCTTCTGCAGGGCTTCCAACAGCGCTATGCTGGGACAGAGCATCTGGAGGGTTGCAGTCTCTGTGGTCCATAGGAGCCACTATCAGGAAGGCCCAGGGAATAATTTGCCATTTCAGTGGAAAACAAGCAGAGTTATGATGACCATGTACTTTGGATCGGGATTTGCCATAGCGATGTTCCTTGTAAGACACCAACTGCTTAAGAAATAAGGATGTTTTAGTTAACCCACGAAACTGGTAACTAATGAATGGACTTCTCATCTTTCCATATAATGTTTTCCCTTTTATTTCTTTTTTCCTCCTTTCTGTACCCCTCCATCCAAAAAATTAGAAAAATATGGTCTAGAAAAACTATGTCTTGCTGTCTTCCACATGTTCACTGCCACCCAACAAAAAGAAAGAGCTGCCACCGTGCAGGCCCAGATTGGCCAGGTACTCACATTGGTGTTGCACAGCTTGTACTGGCGATAGGCCCCAATGCAGGAGATGGCTGCGGACCGGGCTGGCGGGGCAAAGCTCTGGGCTGCCCTAGGGGGTCCCATGCCATGGCTGCTGCTCGTTTCTGGGCTGTGGAAGAGGCTTGAAGCTGCAGGGAAGCTTTGGTCATAGGTCAAAGGGAGCTGGTAGATGGAGGTCTCTGAGGCCTGCAGTCCAGAACGAGAGCCACTGTCACTCTGGTACAGAGGTCCACGGTGGGGGGCCCGGAGGCCTGGTGGGCTATAGCCATGGCTAGGACCAGATGCTCCCTGGGACCTCGATTGCCGGGACGAAGGCTTCTGTCTCCGAAGCCTCTGCGGTGAGTGTGCGGAGTCCGTCTGCAGTGGTAAGATGTACGGGGCCTTCCCATAGCCATACGTGCCAGGGCCGATGGGACCTCGGGTTCTGCCGCTACAGAGAGACACACAAGAGAGGAGATGAAGAGTCTTGGGAATTGTCGTGTTCACCCAGGAGCTCTGGTCCACGGGGGAGGGACTGGGTAGAAACAGAAGCTTGGGAGAGAGCCTGAGGTGGGACAGGGGTGCAGAAGGCGCATTCCCGGAGAAGGGACCGTCATGGGGGCTGGAACAAGGTTCTGCAGAGGCTGGGAGGTGGGATGAAGGAGGGAATCAGCTGTGGGTGATGTCAGCAGTTGAAAACGAGGTCAGGATGGTAAGCTGTGACTTAAGTACGTGACTTATGTCAGGGTGTTTGGAAATTTTCATAGGTTGTAGGGAGCCACTGAAGGGTTTTTGATATAAGTGTAAAGATATAATTGTAATTTCAGCCATAGTAACTTCCTGTTCTTTTTTTTTTTTCCTGATAATAGTTTGTGGATTTTTTCTCTCTCAACTACATCTGATATTTCGGGCCCTGTTTCTATTACCATTCATGCCCAAATAGCTTTTCCAGGTAAGTAGAACTTAGCTAAGAAACCAAATGCTAACGCAGCCCTGGGCCTGACTTGTGTTGGGTCAAACTTAATCCCTGAAGAAATTAAAGGAGATTCAGCAACTGGCCACCCCATCACTCTCCAGGCAGCCCATGTTGAACAATGGGTCAATGGCCATCTTCTTGTCGGTATGGATTTTGTTGAGACCTGTTGCTTTGTGAGACCTTACGAAAATCACATAAACAGCAGTGTGTTTGGAAGTGTTTGACAACTGGCATTCCAAAGGGGGGAGAGCCTGTAGCATTTTTTTCATTTCCATAGTGTAAATACTCCCATCATGGCCAATTTCAAGCTGCCATTGTGCAGACACAACCAGCTCGAGCAAGGAGGGAAAAACCAGCCCCAGCACACACTACACGTAAACTTACCACACAACAACTGTTTGCATTTCCTAGGATTGGGAAAGAAACACAAAAATAAATCAAATGTAGTTCCCGGGACCTCAGCCTTACAACTGAAAGCAACTAGAACATCACGCAGGGCAGGATAAAGGCTTTGGAGGCACTGCAGAAATTGTGCTTTGGGAACTCTGAGGCAAGAGGAAGCACTTTGATCTGGAGGGATCTGAGAACGGTCCACCACCACTGGTCTGAGATCTGGGAAGCACAGGTTCCAATATTCTGTGGAAGGACTTAAGTAAGCCATATAACTCTTATTTGTAAAATGACTAAACTGGATTAAAAGACTGCAAAGGTCATTCCAGCTCTAAAATTATATGCTTCTATAATAATTAATTCTACTTTTACATAAAATTGGAAAGGTGCCCAAGGGTTTCTACAAGATGGCCCCATTAAAATAAGCACATTAAAATAGCAATCAAGGTGAAACATTAATTTCTGCCCTCATGAGGAAAGAAATTCTTTCTTCACTGTACGTAACCACTGAATATAAAATTTAACAGACCACAACTAATTATTAACATCTTTATCACTAATTGCACCTTCATTCTTAGCTGATATGGTTTTGAATTAAACTATGCTACAGTGCTTATTTTGCCTGTAGGCACTTCTCAATTAATCTTGGCAACACTTGAGACTCTTCTGTTAATGACGGGGGATCCAGCATGTTGCTTTAAGAGACGCATTTAAGAAGCTGGTCTTAAAAATATGCATAACTTGAATGTAATTTGCGTTTTTTCTTTCTCACGCAGGCCAGGTAAAATGAATGACATCATGCAAAGGCAAAGGAAAGAATTTCTGTATGTGTGTCTTTTCTTTCTCTTTTTTTTTAAAGATCTGAAAGCCTACCAAAAATTCTAGCCTCCAAGTAAATACTGAGTGGAGACCCCCAGCTGCAGTTAACAGAAATGGAGACGTGGAGCAGAGCTTCTCAACTTAATGTGCCCAGGAATCACTGAGGGATCCTCTTAAAAGACTGGTCCTGACTCAGGAGGTCTGAGGCAGGGCCTGAGGTTCTGCGTTTCCAACAAGCTCCCAAGTGATGCTGGGGCTGCTGGTCTACACACTCACAGCTTTAAGAAACACAGTCATAGGATAGAATTGAAATTCAAAAAAAAAGGTAAAATCTAACAGTCAAATTGATCATGTTATTGAAGAAATAGAGGAATGAATTAAAAACAAAAACCTCTGAGTTTGTGACATCTATAAAAACTCCACTGTCCTAGGCCACACTGCAAGCTGCAACTCACCCTGTGAGGGCCGCTGGACCCGACTGGACCTCAATCCCAGGGGTAGAGGAGGCGGAGCACCTGCTGGTGGCTGAGGACTTGTATAAGCATCTTTTCAAAGGCTGCCCATCACTCCTGAGGGGGTAACGCATACATGTGCAAATGTGCAAATGTATATTTTTGTATTCGCACTGCCTTCTGGGAGGCTGTGCCTAAGCAGAGAACCATTCAAAACCCACAAATAGCAACACCGTTAGAAAGGTGATCATTTGTAAACAAATGACGAGCTAATTCTGAGAATCAGACTAAAGAGAACGAGCAGTCAATCAGGGTGTGATTATGAGGGTTTGTGATTTCCGAACAGTTGACTCGGACACTTGGACAAGCAGCAGGTTCATCCCGACTTGGCCAGGAGGACGTGTGTTTTCCTTACAGCTGGTCAGAGCTAATCATCCTGATGGTTCAGAATGGCCTCTTCCCCACCAGGCCACTTGCGGAGCGGCCTACATGAATCAGGCAGATTTATGCAGAGTTGGGATAATAAGCACAGATGTGGGCACGGGGAACCTTGTGGCCAGTTACCCCCCCGCCAGGGGTCCATGCTGTTGGTGCCTGGGGGCTGTTAAGCTGATTAGTTCTGCTTGGTCTCCTCATAACCCATCTCCGGAAATTTACTATAGCCTCCCCTCTTGTCAAAGCTCTGACTAATTCCAGAAAGTGAAGCCATAACAAAGTAAGAGAAAAAGCCTGGTTTGCTCAAGATCAAAGATATGCAAGCCAGTGTGGCATCGTGGTTAATGACTCAGACTCTGAAGCCAGGGTTCCTGGGTTAATATCCCACCTCCGCTACTTACTAATTACTGAACCTTTGAAAAAATTACTCAGTCTTCTGATGCCTCAGTTTCTTCAAACAGGGCCAAGACGAGGATGAGGCCAGTGAAGCATGTATCGTCAGGTACCTTCTGGTGGAACCTGAGAGTAACGTCTTCTTAAGATTTTCACCTAAGGGCCTCACCCCAGGCCCAGTCGTCAGTTTATAAATAAATGTGATAACAGCATCTTTCTTATAGGTTGTTGTAAAGAGTAAACAACTTAGTAAGAGCAACAGACTTAAACGATGACTACCATAGAGCAGGTATGATGCAAGTATTTGCTTTAAAAGAATGTTCTGGCTTAGCCATTTAATAGCTCTACAAACTTGGGAAAATAATGCGCCCTCAGTTTTCTTTCCTATAAAATGGGAGGGTATCCACTAGGATGGCTATAATAAAAAGAACAGATAATAACAAACAGTGTTGAAGAGGATGTAGAAAAACTAGAACCCTCATGCATTCCTGGTGTGGATGTAAAGTGGTGCCATTGCTCTGGAAAACTATCTGAAAGTTCCTCAGAAATGAAATGTAGCGTTACCACATGCCCCAGCCATTCCAGTCCTGGGTACATACCCATAGAAATGAAAAGCATAAGTCCACACAAAATCTTAACCCAAATGCCTGTGAAGGTAGAATGCATAAACAAAATAATAGTATATTACTCATCCACAAAATGGAAGAAGTATTGATACATACTGTAATATAGATGAACCTTGAACACATTCTAAGCAAAAAGAGCCAGACACAAAAGGCATGTGTTGTATAATTCCATTTATATGAATTGTCCAAAACATGCAAATCCACAGAGACAGAAAGTAGATTAGAGGCTGCCAGGAGCTGGGGGAGAGGAGAATAAGGAGTGATGCTAAAAGACACAGGATTTCTTTTGGGGGTGATGAAAATGTTCTGTAATTAGATAGTGATGATGGCTGTACAACCTTGTGGATATACTGAAAACCACTGAATTATACACTTCAAATGGTGAATTTTAAGGTATTTTAATTTATCTCAATAAAGATGTTATTTTTTTAAATGAAAGCATGAATAATATCCATTTTATCTATTTACAATGATGTTGTAAAGATCAAATTGAGGTTACTAACAGGAATGCATTTTTTAAATCTAAACGCAGTTTTTGTCATGTTTTCCATCATTTGTTTCAACAACCTTTAACAAACAAACCTTTACCAAGCAACTTCTCTGAACATCTATTGAGCATTGTGTGTGATGTTTTTTCTGCTTGTCCACACTTCCAGCCCTGACAGCATAAGTAAATGCAGAGCCCCTTCCCCCCAGCACGGCTCAATGACAAGACGCCACAGCAAGGGTCTGGCACCAGGTTCAGGCCCCGTGCTTCCAACGACCTACCATGGGTGTTGGGGAAATTGTTGTTTCTTGAGATAATGGCTGCAAATAGCATTTTGGAAAGGGTAATAAATACATAAAATATTTTCCTTACCACGTGCTGGCTGCCATCCAGGGGATCATTATGTGTGATGTTGTGCAGCTTTGTGATGTTAAGGCTAATCAGTGTGATGACTCCACGTCCAGTCTCCTAACTAGGCAGGAACCCTGGAAATGTGTCATCTACAGCCATCACCCATAACTGACAACACCCATATTTCTATTCCCTGCCAAACCCCTCTCCTGAAAGTCAACTGCACAGACCCAAGTAACCTCTAGACCAGGGGTCCCCAACCTCCGGGCCACGGACAGGTATTGGTCCGGGCCTGTTAGGAACCAGGCTGCACAGCAGGAGGTGAGCTTGAATGTAATGCTCTTGAATCATCCTGAAACCATGCCACCATCCCCCAGTCCATGAAAAAACTGTCTTCCACAAAACCCGTCCCTGGTGTCAAAAAGGTTGGGGACCGCTGCTCCAGACTAGAATCTGCTTCTCACCTGTGATGCGCATGAAAATCACCTGGGGATCTCATCAAAATACAGCTTCCGATTCTTC